GGGATGTGTGTAAAAAAAGAGTGACTTTATTTGTGGACGATGAAGGGCAGATTCAATTCCGTACCACGTTTAGAAAAGCAAAAGGTACCCAAGTACTACATAGCTAACTTATCAACCATACTTTACATACTTTCAACTTCATTTTAGTTGTAGTATTCGAAAAAATCAATCACACTAACTTAACAAAAGCAACTCAATTAGCACCCGACTCAAAGGTCTTTAACTCAGAAAGTCTCCCTCCCCCTCCTCATACAATCGTTATTTGAGCGTGAGTGGGTATCAAGCAAATAAATATAGGCCTTTGTTTACAAGGGTATGTTTTATTCTTTAGCAAGATAAACTAATGGGATTTGAAATAAATGAAGACTATCAGTGTACACATTTGAGCTTGTTACAATAGAATGAACAAACTTGTAAAAACTAAAATGTTGTGTTTTAACTAATAATTCTTAAATTAATAAGATTTGGATCCCGCACAGTCTACTTGGTGAATTTAACCACCATTCAATTAATAATTTCGACCTTTGGCTTATAAGTCGGACAGCGGGGGGTAAAAAATGCTATTCAATCGGCAATTTCTTCAACGTCTGAAATCATATTAAAATCAAACTTATACAGTTTAAAAGGTTATTCAATTACGAACAGAATGATGTATAACATGTTAACATAAACATAATAAAAGCATGCAAAAAATAGAGTTGAACATGCAGGGGGTAGGGAAAAGCCGATTTGTCCGATTTTCTCGGCAGCGGCATTGGCTTAGCTAAATTATAATGTTTAAGACAACTTAGATACATCTTTATTTTACATTTTAAATAGACCTAATGGCCTAATAATATAAAACAAATATAACGGAATACGAAAGCGGTGAAAGGTAGAATCGATATTGCTAATACTTAGGCCTACGGTATCTATTTTGTTAGTCGGGTTTTACAGCTTGTGAACGTCTGAAGAAGAAAGTAAAAACATTTGTTAAAATAACAGTAAAAATGTACCGACTCACACTAAATTCAAATTAAGTATGAATGTTTTCTTATTTTAATTGATCAAAATACCAACGGATATAGCGACAAAACATTAGCCATACCATTTTTCTCGATTTTTAGATTTAAGCCTCTACTATAATGCATTACGAAAAAGATGATTTTCGTAGCAAAAAAATTAAACTAAAAATCGTATAGTTTTACTCAAATCGAACCTAGTATCATTATTTTTAGTTTTAAATCATCATATGTATAAGATAATTTCAACTTTGTGTTGAGTTATCGAATACCTAATTCAATCATACAGGCCGCAACATATTAGCTCAATTCATACAATTTTTACTATTTTAAAAAGGTTAATTTATTATCTTTGAATCCTCTCATTTACTAGTTTAATTATTAAAATTCTTTAAGAAAAAAAATGTATAAAAATTGGTGATATAATTCATATAAAATGAAGGAACGTGAAAATGCGGTATCGATACCGCTAATAGGGTACCTAGTTTGTGAGACATATTGCACAGTCTGCTAAACGGATAAACCTAAAATAAGTATGCTTGTTAGAAAGCGGGTGAAAGCTTAATAAAAAATGAAGATAATCCTACTAAAAACAGAGTTAGTCTCAATGTTCTACTATTTTATGTAAATTTTTGAAAACTCACCTTTTAAACTCAATATGAGATTAACAAAAACAAGTAAAAAGTTGAAATAAAAATTATATGGCGGTAACGGCCAATAACCGCTGCTAATAAGGAGGGCATATATGATCGCGTTCTATCGATTTTTAAACAGTTAACATAGCAATGCGAACGACTAAATTTGAATTAGATTTTATAGTGCACGAAAGGTTTAGAGCCTGTGACGTCATATTTTATTTACTTGTGCAACTAACTAGGTTTTAGCTAAAAAAATATCATTATAGCCTAAAAAATTATTCTAATCTTAAGTCAGACCACCCATATATATGGGTGTGGGGAAATTGCGAGACGCGAAAAGCGAAATGGCGAGGCGGGAAAATGCGAGAAGGGCGCGAAAACGGTCGGTCACGTGACTTTTTTGTCTCGCATTTTACCACAAGCCGATACTTACGCTGGGTGGTGTTGAAATGCGAAGATTTCTGCGAAAAATTTACCGCACCCGATTTTCAGTGGTATTTGGTCCAGACTTCAAAGACGTTACTTTACATTGTTAAAACTTCCGATTTTTCCGTCGCTAGACAACCTGATGATTTGTCAACTCCCCCCATCTTTTGTGTCGACTTAGAATACCACCTTGTTCGAAACCGACGGAAATACCGCTGACGATAGATCAACTTCTGTCTTTTGTGTGGAACGCCGAGGCCGCCTGATTTACCGTCTTTGGAGATCGCCGTGCCCGGATTCGCTGCCGCCGCAAACATATTTTCTATTGTTGCATAGAAATTTTGTATTATAGCCGCCGCCTACGATTTTTTTCTAACTTTTTTTTTACCATATAAATCTAAGCACAAGGAAATGCCTACATCATTTGGATACAACAAAATAAAGTTACGTCACCGATATTATCAGTTGCTCGTGCTATATCGTAAGCTATGGGCCTACTTCAAATATTTTTAAAACCAAGTTGAACTTGTCTGAATTTTTTGGTTTTGGTGGTGGTGTTATTTGGGGTCTTCCATAAATGACGTCACACTCGTAGGGGGGGGGGGGGTCTGTAATTTTATGACGATGTGTGATGAGGGGGAGGAGGGGGGGGGGGTTAGATGTGAAGTCACACTATAAAAAAGCAATGTTAGAAAAAGAATTTTAGACATTTTTTCGCGTTTTAGAAAACTGTTTTAATACATTGTAATAGGAATTGATTAAAATACTCTATTTTGACCGAAATTAGACAAGATTTTGGGAAAATATCGATGTTTTAAAAAAACTCAACTGCTGGTGACAACAATGAGCAAGACATTGCCAAAATTACAGAAATGATAAAAAATACAAATTATAAAAAACGGAAAACAGATGTTGAGCGTGCGGATGATGATGATGAGAACATGGGTGCCAGTGTTGTTTGTGGGATGAACGAGGAGGTCAACTGTGATGAGAATGTGAAATGTTGTGAATGTGGATTGGAAGAAGTGAAGAAGTAGCAAAAGAAAAATGTATAAATGGGAGTCTAATGAACTGGGTTGGGTGTACTATGTGTGAAAGATGGTGTCACGAGGTGTGTTTGATTTTGTTTGTAATTAAAATTACTTAATAAAAAAATAAATTGCACTTTTTAGAATTGTTTATACTTTTACACTTTTTGCAAGTACAAAAATCCATAAATAGATGTTGCAAAATATCTCTCCTGCTGACAAGATTATACCAATTCACAATGACACAGCTTACGTTTGTATAAACATGAGCGGGCTAGATTTTTAAATTAATGCCGACTGAGACGGGATTTTCCTCTCGCTAACAAGAGCGGGCGATGACAGTAGCACAGCAACGATGTTAGGATTTTTAAATAGATAGATCTAGATATAGATCTATCTTCTTAGTATCTAGATAAAAAATAACAACATACAACACTCGTGTTAAAGGGTATGGCTAAATGCTTGTTTATTTTAAAACAAAAAAAAAATAATTTAAATAAATAAAGATGGAAAAAAAAAGGAAAAAACTTTTTTCACAAAAAGTGTCTCGCTATTTACCCTTAATTCCGCAGGTATGTCTCGCATTATCTTCTCGCAATTTCCCGCCTCGCCATTTCGCTTTTCGCGTCTCGCAATTTCCCCACACCCCATATATATAGGCCATTTATTTCAACAGAATCCTTTGGTGGTGTTTAGATGGGAACGCAATCTTAGAGAGGAGAGACCTTTTAGTCAGGAGACGCCTGCCACCTACTAGATCTAGATTCTAGAATCTATCACCACCAGGTTTTGCACCACTTCTTGTTCCTGCAACTGCTATTAGATCTAGAATCTAGATCTAGAGGAGCTTACACTTTTCGGACACACATAGCGAAAAAACGCAACGTAAAAATTCCATGCGGTCTCATTCAGTAACCGCTTAACATAGAAAACAAAAAAAAGTATCATATCTATCCGCAACCATTATACTTTAATAATGTGTGCGTCATTTTGTATTCATACGCATAGAACTTAAGCTATTCTTGTTATAGTGACTGGGGGGTCTTAACGTGTGTTCGAACACATGTAATACAGTTTTACATGTGTTCGGACACCTTTACCCGTCATCGGACATAGCACTTTTTGTTCATTTAGAATAATTTAAAGTCAATTTAATGAATAAAAACATATATTATATGCATGTATATTGTGTTATTGATTGTTTGTGAGGTAATTTTAATAGTATAAAACCTTTTTCCCACACTCCCAAAGTTCATCCCATTCAGCCATTGCGGCTCGCGCAGTACGCTGCTAAGCCAGCCAGGTCACATGATTCCCCCTCCTCTTTCGCATTCCACTGCCTTCTTGACCTTATTTTGACCCTTTCCCTTCAATAACCAGCCCCTTTTATGCTCTAAATTCTTATTTAGTAATATTTTTGTGTTGCTGTCCGCTCCCATGTAAGGCCAAATAAGTTAGCGAACACCCCTTTTTTATTGTTCAAGCACAAAAAAACCCATTAACCTTGACATTTACGATGTTCCATACATATATAGAAGCTATTTATAGTGTAACCTTTTAGCTAAGCATTGATTGGTTCAAGTTTTGCCCCTAAGTCCAACCCTAGGTCACTTCATCCGGCTGGTGTAAAAATAGAAATGTGCGTACCATGCAACGTTAAAAAATTTCTAAAAATAATTCTTGAGAAAGGAAACGGAAGTACTTGACACGGAAGTGTTCATAAATGAACAGTTTACGTGCAGGCGCCGTGGTTTCGCGTGAGACATGCTAATTAAAGTTTCTATGAGCAAAAAACCGACGAAGTGTTCGCTCCTACGTAATTTTTGGTGTGTGTCCGAAAAGTGTAAACTCCTCTAGATCTAGTTAGCAACAACAACAAAAATTTGGACTTAGCCCAACATACATACCTGTTTTATACGTGGTACTAGTCGGTCATCTAAAAAATATGCTGGTTTAGGCATGATAAAGTTTTAAATTGTAATTGTATATATTGTAGCCTTCAAAAAACTCCAACAAGATCTAGAATTTTAGATGATATAGAAGATCTAGCTAGATGAATCTAGATTTTGAATCTAGATTCTAGTCTAGAGATCTAGATTTTCGGTAATCTATCGTTTTGGGTACGTAAAATCGCCCGCGGCTATTAATGTACGAAAAAGTTACCTCATTGTCAAGGCTTTAGTAGAAGTATATTGTGATATATTTGTGTCAAATATTATAGATAAATGAATAATAAACCTAAATCAATGGCTAAATATATCAATATATGCCAGAAATTAACTGTAAACAGCAGTGTTTGCAAGCAAGATTTGCTATATAAACAGCAGCCATTTGTAAAATAGAGTGACTTCCGCCTGTCTCGCGCTATATCCGCTATAAAAAAAAACTTAAACAAGATGGCTGCTATAGTAAATGAGCATGGTTGCATCTGTTGGAAACATCGCTAGTCTTCATTTATTACTGAAAAGTTTTAATTCAATTGTTTAAAAACAGGTACATAAATGAAAGAAGGAAACATTTTTGTATTTTTCAAAACATAAATCCTCCTCAAAATGTGAAATAATTATTAAAATTTAAGGAGTCACCTGTTTTTCACATTACTAGTCGCGGGCGATTTTACGTACCCAAAACGATAGATTACCAGATTTTCTAGATCTTGTGTAAATGTGTAGATCTAGATCTAGATCTATAGACTATTTTTTCTAGTCACTTTAGATTACTTTAGAATAGATCTATCTAGTCTAGACTAGATCTCGATAGAATCTTCAACGAGTTATTAAATCATGAGAGATTTATAGTTTTGTTGATTTGCTAGTTATCTGCACTTGTTTTAAAAGGTGTTTTTTTATACCAGATATACGGACTAGAATATTGCCAAATAATATAATATGTAGACAAAAAATCTATATACATGTTCTCTATGGGTTTACTAGTTTAGACATTTATCTTTAAAGACTCTAGCGGCCATTTAAATTAATAATAGGCCGGCATATATTCTATATTTCAAATAAAGAGTGCGGAGTCAAAATGCAAAAGTTTAAACCAGAATAACTGCGACAACAGAACCGTCCAGAAAACTCGACAATATCTGACGACAAAACAGGCACGAATGACTTGGCAGAGACGGATGAGCGTGATTAGTTTATATGTTTTACAATTTGTTATAAGTATTTTTTTTTTAAGTTTCTTACAGGATCTGTAAGTTTTTAAAAGGGGTGGATGTGAACGGGTGGAGGATTTTTATTTTATTTTATTGTGCGAATCTTTGTGTGAACATTCTAGTCAATGTACTTTTTTCCGGTCAAGGTTTTATATTGACGATTGACCACTGGTCTTTTTTTTTTCCTAACCTCAAAGCGATCGAGAATGGCTCATGACTAAGGAGTACACCCCTCCCGGTGCCCGGGGACAAACTTTCAATTTGCCCCATCCCCCCCCCCCCCCCCATATATATTTTAATAATTATAAGCTGAAGCTAAAGAAAGCTTTTAATTTTTTTTCAACCCATTTTGGCGCCCCTAGGGTCAGCGGGGGGACATATGTTACATTGTTGCGGATGTACCGATCATCCAAAGTCTACAGTGGCGGATGGGGCGGTGAATGGAAAAAAAAGTCACAGGAAAAAAACACAGAAAAAAATGTCACAAAAGAAAATTAAATTTTATCGGAAAAGATGTCACAGAAATAAAGTCACAGAAAAAAAGTCACAAAAACATTCTTAGAAATATTTTGATTTAACTGTTGATAATTGTAAAATGTTGGGTGTTTATTAATGTCCTTGGTAAATTTTTTTGGGTAGCATATTTGTAAACTTTATAAGCATTATGGTTTATAACAATAATAAGTTAAAATGTTGACAGATAATGCACATAGCAACGTCAACATTTGTTACGTTTTTAGTTAAATGCACGGGGGAAAATTATTTTCAATTAAATTTAGGCTTATCACTGTGTTTGGATATGTTTTTTGCCGCAGGCGTTATCTTGGTCAGCCTTCTTTGTCCGTCCATATTGTGTTTACGTTTCGCGTCAATCACTCAGTATTGGACATCATGGCATCTAACATTTATATTTTCACTTAAGTCTAAGTCAATTTTATGGACACGTTTATTTTTTTTTAAGATTAGTGGACTTTTCCATAAGATTTTTTGTTTGTGTGTGTTGGGGGGTTTCTCATAGGAAACAAAAGAGCCGACTGTAAGTGTAAGCACTGTAAATGTGTGTTGATATTGGGTATTAGTAAGTCCAGAATCCGGCAAATTTCAAACAACATGGCGACCTTCAATGTTGTCATGCGTTCTTTAATGTCACCAACGAGCCACTGTAAAAACTTACTAAATATCAGTCGTTGCATTTTTCACTCTCACGGAGACAATTTAGTCTTTTTTCACACCAAAGGAAATTTATACACGAACAAAGCGCTACCAAATTATGGCCGTAGAAATTCCTATTTAGATCTTTTATTTTTCAAGTTTCGAGAATTCACACAGAAGCAACATCTTGTACTTGTGTCACGATTTTGTTCATTTTCTCCTCTTCATTCATCTCATGATGAAAATAGAAGCCCTCTTCCAGGCAATAATTTTTTGTCCAAAAATAAAGAAGACATTAATTCAAATGAGAGGAAAGATGTGAAAAAAGAATCTTGGTGGAATGGCAAAAATTCTTGGCGGCTAGGCTTGATCACACTTGGTGGTTTATGCATCTTTTGGGGCGTTGGATTAGTATCTGTTTGGGGTAAGAGATTGATAGGCCTACATTTTTAATATAATTAACCCTATTGTAACTTTTCCATTGCAAAGATCTTATTATCACTTAGGCCTAAGAAGTAGATTTTAAAATTTTTAGGTAATCTATGACTATGAGACTATGACCTATGTGAATGTTGTGTATAACTAGGCCTAGGTTATATTAAATTAATATTAGTTGTACTATGTAGCCTACTCTGGCCAAAGGTAGATCTAGTAATATTAGTAATGTGGGGGAGAGGTAACAAATGAAAGGTAAAACTCCATTTTAGAGTATGGCAGGAAACAGATTGGTACCGCAAAATGCATATTCGGTCTTCGCCGTTCATAAACTTTCTAACCAGACATCGTTCGGGGATTTTGTTTATACTGATAAATAGAGCAAGGTTTTTACAAGCTTCGTTAGCAACATTTTTGTGGAATTCGTTTTTTATGACATTTTGTGCCGCGGCGAAGGATGCGAAGTATGCAAATCTAGACGGAATGGATCTACTTGGAAAGAACGTGTACTGCACTAATGAGGTAAGAAATAATATTTTGTAAAAATAACTATTATTTTTTTATGGATTTTTCATTAGAAATGATTGCTGTAAATTATGAAAGTAAAAAAAAGTATATTTGAATGCGTTTTTTACTTTAATTTGAACAAAATGACTGCCGAAAATTACGACACATCGGCGTCGCTGAAAGCGGGAATTTCAGTTAATTTTTTACGGATATAAAATTGTATTTTTTTACTCCGAAGCATGTATTTAAATAACAGTTAAGTTAAATCTATTTAATTCTGTAAAATATAATTATTATTTTGCCGTAGATACTTTTTTTTATATTTTTAATGATTTTCTGTCGCGGAAAATCGGTATTCGCACCATGCACGCACACGTAGTAAAACTAGACTTATCTTTAAAACACGAGAATCTTGAGTACACTGCGAATAACAAAGTTTTTAAATTTTAGTTTACTTTTGACTTTAAGCCATTTGTTTTAAATCGAAATTAATTGATAATGTAATTATTTCAAAGTAAAAATTTTCCGTCGCAAATTGGCTTCTAACCTTCGCCACTGAACCAGCCTACGCACGACATTCGCGCGAGTCTGTTTCTTCGCAATAGTCTGTATAGTGTCGAGGGCTAATTCGAAAAAGAATCGAGTCCTTACTAATCTAATGTTTATTAAAATTAGGTACAATTGTTGGAACGCATGAGAAATAACAAATTAATATTTCTTTAAATCTATAGCCAAAAGAAAGTAGAACTGTATAACTCTGTAAATTATGAATCGAGTGACGGCTGTCGTGAAAACGGGAGCCATTTTACTCTTTTTTTTAGGGTGACCTACTTTTATTATATAATTTTAAAATTCATCGATTTGATAAGCAGCTGAGTAGCTGACTACGCATGCGATATGGCTGGCACGTTTTGGGATAGGGATCGAGTACACCATAGAATTTTTTTTTCTTAGAACTAAGCGTATTTTTTTTTAAAATCAAAAGATACTTACATATCAGTTGTTGATTTCAATTTCATTATAGATCTAATCACTAACTTCAGTTTTTAAAAGTGATTTTGCTTCTAGAACTAGCGTATTTTCAAAATTACGTAGATTCTAAATCTAGAAATCTAGATCTATTCACTTACTATTTGACAACCGTGTCAGTAAAATGAGGTCACCGCTTCCAGATTCTTAGGTTTTAATTATGTTTGTCATTTTGATCTATTATAAGTAGCATTAAAACAACTGCATCTATTATCAACATTGTTTTTATATGCCAGTTCTAATTATACATTCTGTTCATTACCAATTCTAATGAAATCGTATCAGGCTCTAACACCCTGTTCACCTACACTGACACTACACTTGAATGACGCCACAGACAGTCGTAACTTTAAATTAATGTTCAAAGTACTAAACAATTATAATTAGCCATGTAAATGCTGCAACTATATTAAAAATTGGCATATAGACATATTTTATTAATTATGTTTTTTATATAGACCTTCTATATTTAACTCTGTTATTTTTTTCTTCCCCAGAGTGTTTCTAAAAGCCAGAATTTTAAAGGGGAGGGCGGTCGTTTTTTTTCTCAAGAATAATTATAGAAATAAGCTATAAACTGGTATATTTTGTAAAGTTTGACATAATTACAAATAAATGTATGCCTAAGTGACATTTCTGTGTAATTATATCGTTAATTTTGTGAATTTCGTGGATTTTTGGACCTCACTACATTTAGATGTAAAAAAAAATCTCAGTTGAGTGAGTGTGGTTAATCTACATTTTGAACGTGATGTAAATGTCTAGTGCTATTAATTTTTAGATTTTTGAATTCCTCGATTGTTAAGCAACAAAATTGATATATAATATGTCAATATTTGTTACTTTGAAAATTGGCGAAAATCGACCCTAAAAGTAGATGCTTGAGGGTTGAAGCTGTTTCCTGCCGTATTTTATTCCCCGCTTAATCGTTCACCTCCAGTTGAGCGTATTTTATTATAAACACAACTGAAACGCACAAAAACGGTTTTAGATCATGAATAATCATCATACCTTCACCTGCATCTATACACCCTAAAACTGTTCACTGTTTGATGGACGTTTCCAAATTACATTACTCCATAAAGACTGGAGATCACCCGATTTTAAATTATTTTGCAAAATGTTTGATATTCCAATTTGAATGTTCATGAGATACGTTGGAAAGAAAAATGCATATTTTGTTCCATTTATCTGGCATAATTGGGTTTTTTTTTTTTTTTACAACAATCTTCCCGCATATGTATGCTGAAATAAAAAAAGTTCCAATTCAAAGAGAAGCACTCAATGACATGTTATCTAGAAGAGCCAGTTGTTATTGTACATCTTACTTACAACTCTTGCTTTTATTGATACATCAGTTACCAGCCCTTGGATATTTTATTCAAATCAAACAAATGTAAGTCTTCTGGTCTAGTTCCAGCTTTTATTCAAAGCTGCTAACCTGAATGTGAACATTTTATTTCAAATCCTTTATAAGTAATTACGTTGAAATCAAATATTTTTGGTAAACCTATTAATCAAGAAGATGGTCCAGTTTGTTGATTATCTACCCACCCCCCACCCGTCCCACACCTGAACTGGGACACAATGCATCCCCGTCCCACCTAGCTATGTGCAGGCTAGGGCACCCGTCCCCCCACCCTCTCGCTGGAATGCCAGGGTCAGGCAGGGGTTAAAGAACGGTTAGAACCCGAGGGTGAAGCTTCGGCCGAGAGAATAAATTAGGACAGTCGAACGTTAGCCGTAAAAGCATGTACACGTGTTTTGTTTTGTACAGTGTGGTAGGGCTGGTCCCTAAAGCCGGCCGCTGTTGATGAACATAGACCATAGTAAGACCACCATTTAGAGTGTAGTTTCACCATCTATTTAATTAAAGATGTTTAGCTGAAATGGTGTTGGTGTGGTGTTCAACAATCAAGTCATCTACTGTGTCTTATTCACCACAAAACTGTTTAACCTCTCACTGCAGTCATCAGTACCAATCATACTAAGGAAATTTTTAACAGTTGGTGGAGAAGCGAAAACGGCTCATATATTTTTTTTGAAGCAGCTAAAAGGATTCACATTTTGATGAAGGAGCAAAACTGTCAAACAGCAAACCAATTAATAACAATTTGTTAGTGCAGCTATTTCTGAGAATATTGTGTACATGTAGTAGGACTTGTCCTATTTCAGAATACTCCATTGTCAGTAGTGACGTTGAGAATATTGTGTACATGTAGTAGGACTTGTCCTATTTCAGAATACTCCATTGTCAGTAGTGACGTATCAGAATTGAAGAATGTACTTTTCCAACATTGAAGTTAGTCTACAGTGATAAGTGCGAGTGACTAAATCGTCGTTGTTTTAAGTCTAATGTGAAGTATTCTTGTACCCCTAATGAAGATGAGAAGTACCCTTACACCCATGATGTTAAAATGAAGTGTTCATGTGTCGATGTCATCCCACTGCAGTTCCAGATGTCCAAGCTTATGGATTTAGATTAATAAACATTAAGCTCTAATGTGTTCTTATAAAAATATTCTAATTATAAGCGTTGGTCCTCTTCTATAAGTCGTATGCCCAAGTCCAACTGTTGCTTAAGTATTTATTTATTTATTTAGGTCTATTAGCTGCATTTGTTAGAAGTTGTTGAACTTTATTTTTATATTGAATTTTGTTCTGTGCTAGAGATAGGTTGTTTACATTTAATCAGTGCACTTTAAAATAATTTCTGAATTTTCTCTCTTCATTTATTCAATGTGCCAGTTAAAAGCTTATAAAACAATCATAAAGTTAGGACCCTTTACAAGACAATCATAACTTTTATAACCTGATTTTTACAAAAAAGTACTATTATTAACCAGTTGACAAAATGTCTAAATAACAAGATGTCTATGATTTACACTATCCTTGGAGGATTTATTTTCTTAATCGTGTGATGATTGAACCCTTTAGCTTAGACTTATCGGGGTTTTTTCTTGTGAAATTTTGGAGCGGTCAATCGGTCCACTTACTTGACGGTAAGCTTGTGACGGTTGTTGTTGCCGCTAGATAGGACGATGATGAGATGATGTTTTAAGACCGATGACGCAGTCTATGCTTTTTAATGGGTTTTTATGATGGTATCTTGATGATGTGATGCTGAGTATACCTTGTCTATTGATTTTTTGGGTTTTGTTGGAAAGTATTCCTCTAAGATATTTTGTAGAGAAACTAATTATCATTGTGGCCATATTACTTAGTTTACCAACTTGAGAAGTTTTATCTAGGAGAGATAATGAAGTGTTGCTTGTGGTATATTGAGGATAACTTATCTTAATTATACTGAAATTTATAGATGTATAACCATCTTTTTTTTCCATTAGATACATATTGTCGTACAGTTTAGAAAAAAAAATGACTGAAATAGATGATATAGAAATAGTTCATATTTATGCTATAGCGATAAATTCTAGACACGAACCATATAATGTTTTACAAACTACTTCAGATTTAGCATTACTCAGTAGCATTTATTATGGAACTAGGTTAGCTGTTTATTGATTCTAGTTTTTACTATAACACGGTATAGCGTCATCTACATGAGGAAACAGTATTATCATACTAAGATGTTAAGATGTTGCTTTCCTACTTATGTTATTACTGCTCTTATTGTATTAGTTGTTTGTTGCATGTGATATATCATGTATGTAGAGTGTATTAGTTGTTTGTTGCATGTGATATATCATGTATGTAGAGTGTATTAGTTGTTTGTTGCATGTGATATATCATGTATGTAGAGTGTAAGCCTCGCTGGCTTTGCCAGCTGGTTAAAGGAGGGGGGAGCTAGGTGGGACGTTATAGGAGAGGGGAGCTAGGTGGGACGTTAAAAGAGAGGGGAGCTAGGTGGGACGTTATAGGAGAGGGGAGCTAGGTGGGACATTAAAAGAGGGGAGCTAGGTGGGACGTTAAAAGAGGGGAGCTAGGTGGGACGTTAAAAGAGAGGGGAGCTAGGTGGGACGTTATAGGAGAGGGGAGCTAGGTGGGACATTAAAAGAGGGGAGCTAGGTGGGACGTTAAAAGAGGGGAGCTAGGTGGGACGTTAAAAGAGGGGAGCTAGGTGGGACGTTAAAGGAGAGGGGAGCTAGGTGGGACATTAAAGGAGGGGGGAGCTAGGTGGGACGGGGATGCATTGTGTCCCAGTTCAGGTGTGGGACGGGAGGAGGGGGGGTAGATAATCAACTAGCATCAATACTGGACTCAGTTATAACAGTGGGGTATGGTTTTTTTTGTGATAATAATTAACAGACATAATGTCATTTATGGATGACCCCCATAATAAGTAACAGACATAATGTCATTTATGGATGACCCCCATAATAAGTAACAGACATAATGTCATTTATGGATGACCCCCATAATAAGTAACAGACATAATGTCATTTATGGATGACCCCCATAATAAGTAACAGACATAATGTCATTTATGGATGACCCCCATAATAAGTAACAGACATAATGTCATTTATAGATGACCCCCATAATAAGTAACAGACATAATGTCATTTATGGATGACCCCCATAATAAGTAACAGACATAATGTCATTTATGGATGACCCCCATAATAAGTAACAGACATAATGTCATTTATGGATGACCCCCATAATAAGTAACAGACATAATGTCATTTATGGATGAGCCCCATAATAAGTAACAGACATAATGTCATTTATGGATGACCCCCATAATAAGTAACAGACATAATGTCATTTATGGATGACCCCCATAATAAGTAACAGACATAATGTCATTTATGGATGAGCCCCGAGACCTACAGTTATCCAAGGATAACAGGTAGTCTAGTACATAAAATAAAAGTATTTCATTATCCAAGGATAACGGGTAGTCTAGTACATAAAATAAAAGTATTTCATTATCCAAGGATAACGGGTAGTCTAGTACATAAAATAAAAGTATTTCATTATCCAAGGATAACGGGTAGTCTAGTACATAAAATAAAAGTATTTCATTATCCAAGGATAACAGGTAGTCTAGTACATAAAATAAAAGTATTTCATTATCATAATTTGCATTATCAATATTTAATTATCTGTAATAATAGTGTGGTCAGCAGACCCATGCGTATGTTCATCTTTTTGGCTTCAAATTCCACTTTTTAAACATGACCTGTTCCTACTTTTTAGACATGACCTGTTCCTACTTTTGGCTGCCAAGGGACTAAATTAACAATAACATTATTAAATGTCTCTCTGGCCACTAGTGGTCACACCATTGGGACCTGGGAATTTTTCTAAGCCTGTGTGGCCTGGCTTTTATAGCCTAGAGGTAGATCTAAATAAAATGTGTTAAATAATGTGTATTGCCCATGAACACAGCCATTGGGTTAGGGCTAGTCACTAACTTCTAACTACACATGAACACAGCCATTGGGTTAGGGCTAGCCACTAACTACACATGAACACAGCCATTGGGTTAGGGCTAGTCACTAACTACACATGAACACAGCCATTGGGCTAGGGCTAGTTACTAACTACACATGAACAGAGCCATTGGGTTAGGGCTAGTCACTAACTACCCATGAACACAGCCATTGGGTTAGGGCTAGCCACTAACTACACATGAACACAGCCATTGGGTTAGGGCTAGTCACTAACTACACATGAACACAGCCATTGGGTTAGGGCTAGTCACTAACTTCACATGAACACAGCCATTGGGTTAGGGCTAGTTACTAACTTCTAACTACACATGAACACAGCCATTGGGTTAGGGCTAGTCACTAACTTCACATGAACACAGCCATTGGGTTAGGGCTAGTTACTAACTTGTGTAAAGCCAATAAAGTGCAATCTGCAGCCAGAAGTTGGTGTCTTCTATTTTGTGTACAGTGTCTTCTGTTTTGTGTACATCGTCTTCTATTTTGTGTACAGTGTCTTCTATTTTGTGTACAGTGTCTTCTATTTTGTGTAAAGTGTCTTCTATTTTGTGTACAGTGTCTTCTATTTTGTGTACAGTGTCTTCTATTTTGTGTACAGTGTCTTCTATTTTGTGTACAGTGTCTTCTATTTTGTGTACAGTGTCTTCTGTTTTGTGTACAGTGTCTTCTATTTTGTGTACAGCCTAGGGTTCAATCATTTCAAATGTTTTTTTCCCCAGGTGCCCCCCAGTTGGACCCTGATGGTAAAGAGGTAAGTGTCAGCTGGCCACTCACAGAGTTTGATCATCCCCAGAGTTTGATCATTACTCATCTGATATATTTTGCATGATGTCCTTTTTAGCTCGCATCCTCATTTTCTTACAAATAACTTTCTATTTTCTAGTGCTCAAAATCTAATTAGGGAATGTCTTGTTAGCCAATGTTTGTATGGAGTTCTCATGTTTTATGTTTGTTGGTCTTTGTGTTCTTCAAACTCATTTGACTTGTTCTATTTATTGTTTTAGATTCAAGATGAATTTTCAGAAGGTAAGTGCTGTTTTAACCTCGACTCATCTCTTACTGTGGTAAAAAAAATGTAAAATTCTATAAATCCATTGAAAGTTTGGGAGATGTAAAATCTATAAATCCATTGAAACTCAGTTGTACATGTCTGAAATCTGATTGGTAACGTGTTGGTGAAACCCATCTCTAAAGTTGTGTCAGTTTATGTAGCAGAGTGTGAAGTGAGCTAGTCATAAATAGAGAGTAAGGAAATTGGTGTAAACATGGACACGCCTTTATGGCTCATCCAGTGCGTCATGCATCATATAAGACGAAACAACAAACAGGTTAATCTCTCCATTTAACACATGTTATAGTTAAGTTTTGTAGGAAACAACAAACAGGTTAATCTCTCCATTTAACACATGTTATAGTTAAGTTTTGTAATCTTGTCTGTTAGCACAATGTCTTGAGTGCTATTTAAGTTAGGTTGACATAATGGAAAATCAAGTTTGTAGTTTTCTGTTTTCAGCTTTTGAGAAATTTAGGTTGACATAATGGAAAATCAAGTTTGTAGTTTTCTGTTTTCAGCTTTTGAGAAATTTAGGTTGACATAATGGAAAATCAAGTTTGTAGTTTTCTGTTTTCAGCTTTTGAGAAATTTAGGTTGACATAATGGAAAATCAAGTTTGTAGTTTTCTGTTTTCAGCTTTTGAGAAATTTAGGTTGACATAATGGAAAATCAAGTTTGTAGTTTTCTGTTTTCAGCTTTTGAGAAATTTAGGTTGACATAATGGAAAATCAAGTTTGTAGTTTTCTGTTTTCAGCTTTTGAGAAATTTAGGTTGACATAATGGAAAATCAAGTTTGTAGTTTTCTGTTTTCAGCTTTTGAGAAATTTAGGTTGACATAATGGAAAATCAAGTTTGTAGTTTTCTGTTTTCAGCTTTTGAGAAATTTAGGTTGACATAATGGAAAATCAAGTTTGTAGTTTTCTGTTGTCAGCTTTTGAGAAATTTAGGTTGACATAATGGAAAATCAAGTTTGTAGTTTTCTGTTTTCAGCTTTTGAGAAATTTAGGTTGACATAATGGAAAATCAAGTTTGTAGTTTTCTGTTGTCAGCTTTTGAGAAATTTAGGTTGACATAATGGAAAATCAAGTTTGTAGTTTTCTGTTTTCAGCTTTTGAGAAATTTAGGTTGACATAATGGAAAATCAAGTTTGTAGTTTTCTGTTTTCAGCTTTTGAGAAATTTAGGTTGACATAATGGAAAATCAAGTTTGTAGTTTTCTGTTTTCAGCTTTTGAGAAATTTAGGTTGACATAATGGAAAATCAAGTTTGTAGTTTTCTGTTTTCAGCTTTTGAGAAATTTAGGTTGACATAATGGAAAATCAAGTTTGTAGTTTTCTGTTTTCTGCTTTTGAGAAATTTAGGTTGACATAATGGAAAATCAAGTTTGTAGTTTTCTGTTTTCAGCTTTTGAGAAATTTAGGTTGACATAATGGAAAATCAAGTTTGTAGTTTTCTGTTTTCAGCTTTTGAGAAATTTAGGTTGACATAATGGAAAATCAAGTTTGTAGTTTTCTGTTTTCAGCTTTTGAGAAATTTAGGTTGACATAATGGAAAATCAAGTTTGTAGTTTTCTGTTGTCAGCTTTTGAGAAATTTAGGTTGACATAATGGAAAATCAAGTTTGTAGTTTTCTGTTTTCAGCTTTTGAGAAATTTAGGTTGACATAATGGAAAATCAAGTTTGTAGTTTTCTGTTTTCAGCTTTTGAGAAATTTAGGTTGACATAATGGAAAATCAAGTTTGTAGTTTTCTGTTTTCAGCTTTTGAGAAATTTAGGTTGACATAATGGAAAATCAAGTTTGTAGTTTTCTGTTTTCAGCTTTTGAGAAATTTAGGTTGACATAATGGAAAATCAAGTTTGTAGTTTTCTGTTTTCAGCTTTTGAGCAATTTAGTTTGACATAATGGAAAATCAAGTTCGTAGTTATCTATGTTTTCAGCTTTTGAGCAATTTAGTTTGACATAATGGAAAATCAAGTTTGTAGTTTTCTGTTTTCAGCTTTTGAGAAATTTAGGTTGACATAATGGAAAATCAAGTTTGTAGTTTTCTGTTTTCAGCTTTTGAGAAATTTAGGTTGACATAATGGAAAATCAAGTTTGTAGTTTTCTGTTTTCAGCTTTTGAGCAATTTAGTTTGACATAATGGAAAATCAAGTTTGTAGTTATCTATGTTTTCAGCTTTTGAGCAATTTAGTTTGACATAATGGAAAATCAAGTTTGTAGTTTTCTGTTTTCAGCTTTTGAGCAATTTAGTTTGACATAATGGAAAATCAAGTTCGTAGTTATCTATGTTTTCAGCTTTTGAGCAATTTAGTTTGACATAATGGAAAATCAAGTTTGTAGTTTTCTGTTTTCAGCTTTTGAGCAATTTAGGTTGACATAATGGAAAATCAAGTTCGTAGTTTTCTATGTTTTCAGCTTTTGAGAAATTTCTGGTAACCGGAAGTGCACCTCCTCAATAAGTGGATGAAACATTTTTATAAGATACGGGGGGGGGGGATTAGCTCCCCCTCTGGCCATTTTCAGCAAAGTGGCGCCTTTTTGGAAACTTTTTAAACTCAAAGTTTTAAACATTGATATTTGTTAAGAAATAATATTTGGTAGGCACATCTATGTGAATCACAAGATTTATTTTCATGCAGTAACTAAGCATAACAGTAATAGACTAGTAGAGTCTACGTTTACAACACATATTAGCAGCTGTATCAGTTTGCCATTCTAAAAATAAATTATTACGATGCATTGCAATGTTAAAAAAAACTCTACAGGTAGTACCACTTAGCAAGAGGGGTGTTAAGTTTAAGGCAACTGTATAATGTATTTGCTTACGGATAATTGAATTAGAAAATGCTACACAAAAAATTTCACACATAATTACTTTATATATACAGTTTGAATCATGTAATTTATTTTTTGAAATTACAATACAGACACAAATACAACTAATGTGGCACCTCTATTTAGATTTACTTATGGGCGAACTGTGTAGCGATGGGGAAATTTTGACAAGGTCAACAACGTCATTACGATGAAGTAGTAGTATTATGGCAGTTTGGGCAATAGTGATTATGATTACAAATTATATGAAACAGTATTAGGGGTCGTCCATAAATGACGTCACACTTGTAGGGGGGAGGGTTGTCCGTAATTTTGTGATGGTGTGTGATGAGGGGGGGGGGGTTCAGATGGTGGGACGTCACACTTTTGCATTAACAAAATGTAATGTTAGAACAAAAATTGTAACCGTTATTTCGCGTTTAAGAAAACTGTTTTAATAAATTGTAATAGAAATTGATTAAAATACTCTGTTTAGAGAGTTCAGACAAGATTTTGGAAAAATATCTGTTTTAAGAAAAATTCAACTGCAAATTTGAGGGGGGATGTGACGTCATTTTATTGGGGGGGGGGGGGGGGGGGGGGGGGGTAGGTCTGGCTTTTTGTGCCGATGTTTGACGGGGGGAGGTAAAAATCATCAAAAAAAGTGTGACGTCATTTATGGATGACCCCTTAACTTTATATTAATTATTATTTTAGTTTACTAGATCTATATTAAATGTGAATAATGCTGTATTTTGTATTAAAAAAACAACTCAAGTAAAACTAACACTAACCGTACAGTTAATTATCCGCTCAGCTCTGTGGCGGAGGGTAGGGGTGTTAGGTGGGTCCCGTCCCGTCCCCCCCCCACCCATGGACCCCTCTGTAAAAAAAATAATTGTCATAATACCACTCCTACTTATTTAAATCTATTTTTGAAACAGTAGGCTATACATGTGTAATTGAATATGTATGTTTACAACAGTCATTTAAAAACTGACGCTATGTTTACTCTGAGTTGGTTTCCCCACCCCCAACCCACCCCCCCTCACCACCACAATTGAGTACAGCAACAATAATGTCACACTTAGGTATATTCTGGGTTGGATGATTGTCCTAAAGTGACCGGACAGTGGTGAAAGAAGTTGAATTATTATGTAAAATTGTTTTACAAGGATTACAAAACAGGTTATTGCATTCATTGCAGAGGCGTATCCAGGTTTTCGTTGTAGGGGGAGCGAAATGAGCAAAAAAAGGCGCCGAATTTTTAACTCGTTCTATATACGTGTATTATATATATATATATATATATATATATATATATATATATATATATATATATATATATATTTACTAGCTGTATGTCATTACTTCGCTATGATGTAAAATAAATTGTTATTAGCACTTGAAGAAATAATAAAAAAAACACAATGTAGGCCGACAAAACAAAAAATGTATCAATGTAAACAATATATATATATGTGTGTGTATATATATATATATATATACACACACACTACAACCAAAAACAAATGCAACACAATCTGTTTTATAATTCTTATAAAAAAAAATTTTACATAACGATTCCTGGGACAATTATTAAGAAAAGCGAAATAGGGGAAATAATCACGCTCTTAATATAAATATGTAAACATCTACATATTTAATTTTAAATGTCAAAACAAATCAATAATTACTTAAGAATGTAATATAATTGTTTAACAGTATTCGTGTTTTTTAAATGTTTTTGATCTACAATCAGAATTAAATATATCGTCATCATAAATGCTTAAGTATTACAGCATAATGAAAGTTTTTAAAATCGAGTTGGTATAAAAACACGCTTTTAAAATTATAGATAAACATCCGGAATAATAGCTTACATTTAACTAAATTATCGGTCTTTTAGTTCAGATCATATATCTTTTTATTAACTACTGCTTTTTGTGTTCTTTACAGATCATTTTTTAACATAGTGATCAGGTATGGGTTAGATTACTGTATTGATCACACACTTTTTTACTGGTAATTGCAAAAACAATATTCACAGACTTTTACCTGATTCAAAAGCTATGATTCTGGCGGCATGGTACTTTGGTACATCGTTACGCGTTTTCCCAAATGTACTTAAAAGATCAGTTCGGGGTGGGTTGGGGGGGGGGGGGGGGGGTAACTTTATTCACCACTGTCCGGTCACTTTAGGTCAATTATCCAACCCAGTGTATACCTAGGTGTGATATTAATGTCCATCCACACAATTGTGGTGGTGAGGTGTGTGTGTGTGTGGTGAACAGAGTGAACATAGCGTCAGTTTTTAGAAGACTGTTCTAAACACACATATTCAATTACACATATATACTGATTCAGAAATAGATTTAAATAAGTAGAAGTGGTATTATGACACTATTTTTTTACAGAGGGTTCCATGGGGGTGGGGGGTTGTAACTGTTTCATATAATTTGTAATCGTAATCACTATCGCCCAAACTGTCATAATACTACTACTTCCTCGTGATGACGTTGTTGACCTTGTCAAAATGTCCCCACCACTACGCAGTTTGCCCATAAGTAAATTTAAATAGATGTGCCACATCAGTTGTATTTGTATTGTAATTTTTTTTTAAATTAATTACATGATTCTTCTTCTTCTTCTTCTTCGTTCTTAATTATTAGTGTTGAGGCGGATCGAGATTTATCTGCCAGTGGGTTTTATCGAGACTTTGTTCGAATTTATCAACCATGAGCTTTTTGCCGACTCGACCACGCCTCCAACACAATTAAGCGTTACGTGTTAACTGGTTATGCGCCATTGAGGCCATTGACTCCGATTTCAGCCTGCTTTTCTTTTTGGATTTGCTTCCATAGCCTTTGTCCAACCAAGAACAAACTACAAGGCAGCAGTTGTTTAATTTTGGAGTTGTCTCTCCTAGAAGAGTGGCTGTCCCCAGCTAACGAGCCTCATCTGCCCGAGGGTTCGAACTCGAGACTTTTCGGTTTAGCAACCATGAGCTTTACCGACTCGACCACGCCGACCCCTATTTACATGATTAAAACTGTATATATAAAGTAATTATGTGTGGAGATTTATGTATAATATTTTATAGATCAATTATTCTTAAGCAAATACATTATACAGTTGCCTTAAACTTAACACCCCTCTTGCCAAGTGGTACTACCCGTAGAGGTTTTTTAAAATTGCAATGCATCGTAATGGTTATTTTTAGAATGACAAACTTGATACAGCTGTTAATACGTGTTGTAAATGTAGACGCTACTATAATAGTACAATTCTGCTTAATTGCTGCATGAAAAGAAATCTTGTGATTTACATAGATGTGCCGACCAAAATTAATTTTTTAACAAAAATCATTGTTTTAAACTTTGAGTTTTAAAAGTTTCCAAAAAGGCGCCACTTTGCTGAAAATGGCCAGAGGGGGAGCGGCTGCTCCCCCCCCCTCCTGCGTACGCTACTGATTCATTGTTTTTGGTTATAGTGTGTGTATATATATTTTTTTTTTGTTTAGAGTGATACATTTTTGTTTTGTCTGCCTACATTGTGTTGTTTTTTTTATTTATTTCTTCAGAGTGCTACTTTCAATTTATTTTACATCATAGCGAAGCAATAACATACAGATCAGATAGATATATATATATATATATATATATATATATATATATAAAAGATATTACCAATTCTGCGCCTTTTTTTGCTATTTTCGCTCCCCCTACACCGAAAACCTGGATACGCCTCTGATTGTATGGGCAGGTTTCTATCATCTTTTGAACCATTTCTAGTAACTGGGAAAAGGTATTATACTGTATTTCCATGTGAACACCATACCTAGGGAACTGTTTCAGATAAAATTTTCTAGATAAGTAAAAAAATCTCATACTTTGATTACTTTTAATTTTTTTGAATGACCTCCGATATGAAACTAATATGTGTGTCAAAAAAATTTGACATTCCATTGACCTGCAGTAGGATTTAACCTCATTTCTGATTTCTCAAGAAAAAATCATAAGAATCTATTTAACTTCCTCTGTTTTGCATCCATTTGGTGTGCAATTTTTCTTTAACATGATTCTATTTAAAAAATGTAGGTAAGAAAGAATAATAAAAGCACAGACAAAACCCTACACACCTAGACGTGGCTATCCATCCCTCTTCCCACTAACACGCAACATCACACTACACAACATAGCATAACCCAAAGCTCACCCAACTAACACGCAACATCACACTACACAACATAGTATAACCCAAAGCTCACCACACTAACACGCAACATCACACTACACAACATAGCATAACCCAAAGCTCACCACACTAACACGCAACATCACACTACACAACATAGCATAACCCAAAGCTCACCACACTAACACGCAACATCACACTACACAACATAGCATAACCCAAAGCTCACCACACTAACACGAAACATCACACTACACAACATAGCATAACCCAAAGCTCACCACACTAAATACTACAGCTTAAATGAACTCAAACTTTGTATACTACAGCCCAAATACTACAGCTTATATATATATATATATATATATATATATATATATATATATATATATATGCTTTGTATATGTAGTGTCTATGCACACACTCAAACACGCCTTTTTATTATTTCAGCGCCATTAGTGATAGGATACCTAAGACGAACATGGAAGGAAATGAATATCTTTAAAAAGGTTTTTCTTTTTTAAAAAAACAATCTGTGAATGATGGTGCTACATTGGGCTACAGGACATTATCTCTTTCCCCCCCCCCCCCCCACCAGCAATTACCCCAGGGAATTAATCCCCCCCCCCTCCTCAAGTTAAAATTCTAACTTTTACTCATATTCTATACCTATATCTTACCTTAATCCTAACCTTTAGAAAAAGACAAAAACCTATGCATTCACCTCAGCCTAAAACTTAACACAAAACCAATTCTAGATATTGGTTTAAGCCTAACCTTGACCATAACACTAACCCTAAATCTAACCCAACACCTAACCCTAACCTTGACCATAACACTAACCCTAAATCTTACCCTATACCTAACCCTAGTCATAGCCCTAACCTTAGCTGTACCTTAAGCTATGTCCGGGGGGGGGGAGGTAATGCCCTGTTCGCACTACATTGTTGTTTGTGGTGGTAAATAGTACATTATTATGGTTTTATTTTTTTTTTTATAGATGAGTGTTGTTTAAACTGGTAGCTCCAAAATGTTCAAGCCATTGTTAATATTATGGATGAGTGTTATTGTTCTATATGAGTGTTATTGTTCTATATTAGTGTTATTGTTCTATATGAGTGTTATTGTTCTATATGAGTGTTATTGTTCTTGCTATTTATCTTGAAACAGAAAATCCAAGATCCATCCAGAGACAAGCTTTTGCCTGATCCACTCAAGTATCCATACATCCAGCCTCCATACACTCTGGTCATTGAATTAACTGGTGTCCTCATACATCCGGATTGGACGGTCTGTTCACAAGCTGGCTTTTGATACACACTCAGGGAGCAGGACACACCCTGGGAGGGGAGCAGGGCACACCCCGGGAGGGTAGCAGGGCACTCCCTGGGAGGGAAGTAGGGCACACCATGGGAGGGGAGCAGGGCACTCCCCGGGAGGGGAGCGGGGCACACTGTGAAGGGAGCTGTACATGCAAGTGTGTGTATGTATGTATTGATTTGTCCTCAGTATGGCACTGGCTGGAGGTTCAAGAAGAGACCTGGCATTGAATACTTTCTGCAGCAAGTGGGGCCTCCCCTCTATGAGATAGTCATCTTTTCATCAGAGTCAGGCATGGTAAGTTGTGTGACAACAATGTTCAACTGTCAGGTGACACTCTTGGTGTCAGGTGACACTCTTGGTGTCAGGTGACACTCTTGGTGTCAGGTGACACTCTTGGTGTCAGGTGACACTCTTGGTGTCAGGTGACACTCTTGGTGTCAGGTGACACTCTTGTTGTCAGGTGACACTCTTGTTGTCAGGTGACACTCTTGTTGTCAGATGACACTCTTGGTGTCAGGTGACACTCTTGGTGTCAGGTGACACTCTTGTTGTCAGATGACACTCTTGGTGTCAGGTGACACTCTTGGTGTCAGGTGACACTCTTGGTGTCAGGTGACACTCTTGGTGTCAGGTGACACTCTTGGTGTCAGGTGACACTCTTGGTGTCAGATGACACTCTTGTTGTCAGGTGACACTCTTGGTGTCAGGTGACACTCTTGGTAACACTCTTGCTGTCAGGTGACACTCTTGGTGACACTCTCTTGTCAGGTGACACCAGGGCTGCTGGTCTGACTTTTTCAGCTAGCAATTACTGCCAGTGTCAGACATCTTGGCCAACATGACTGGAGCCAACATGACTGAAGCCAAACATCTTGGCCAACATGACTGGAGCCAAACATCTTGGCCAACATGACTAGAGCCAACATGACTGGAGCCAAACATCTTGGCCAACATGACTAGAGCCAAACATCTTGGCCAACATGACTAGAGCCAAACATCTTGGCCAACATGACTGGAGCCAAACATTTTGGCCAATATGACTAGAGCCAACATGACTGGAGCCAAACATCTTGGCCAACATGACTAGAGCCAAACATCTTGGCCAACATGACTAGAGCCAAACATCTTGGCCAACATGACTAGAGCCAAACATCTTGGCCAACATGACTGGAGCCAAACATCTTGGCCAACATGACTAGAGCCAAACATCTTGGCCAACATGACTAGAGCCAAACATCTTGGCCAACATGACTAGAGCCAAACATCTTGGCCAACATGACTAGAGCCAACATGACTGGAGCCAAACATCTTGGCCAACATGACTAGAGCCAAACATCTTGGCCAACATGTCTGGAGATAGACATCTTGGCCAACATGACTTGAGCCAAACATTTTGGCCAACATGACTGGAGCCAAACATCTTGGCCAACATGACTGGAGCCAAACATTTTGGCCAACATGACTGGAGCCAAACATCTTGGCCAACATGACTGGAGCCAAACATCTTGGCCAACATGACTGGAGCCAAACATCTTGGCCAACATGACTGGAGCCAAACATCTTGGCCAACATGACTGGAGCCAACATGACTGGAGCCAAACATCTTGGCCAACATGACTGGAGCCAAACATCTTGGCCAACATGACTGGAGCCAGACATCTTGGCCAACATGACTGGAGCCAGACATCTTGGCCAACATGACTGGAGCCAGACATCTTGGCCAACATGACTTGATACATGACAGTCTGATAGCACTTGACTAGCCCAAGATGTTGAAGGCTGACACCTGATGTGGGGGTGTGTAGCCACCAGAGGGTAAGACAACATTTCCTGCTTTCAGACAGCTGATCCTCTAGTGAACCATCTGGACCCACAAGGCTACATCATGTATCGCCTGTACAGAGACGCCACCAGATATATGGAGGGACACCATGTCAAGGTTTGTACTTATGCATGCTCAGATGTCATGTATGTCTCTCATATTTGAAAATGTCATGTGTGGCTGTAATATTTGAAAATGTCATGTTTGGCTGTAATATTTGAAAATGTCATGTTTGGCTGTAATATTTGAAAATGTCATGTGTGGCTGTAATATTTGAAAATGTCATGTGGCTGCAATATATGAAAATGTCATGTTTGGCTGTAATATTTGAAAATGTCATGTGTGGCTGTAATATTTGAAAATGTCATGTGGCTGCAATATTTGAAAATGTCATGTTTGGCTATATTCTGCTGTCCCAGGATCTGTCCTGTCTGAACCGGGACATGTCCCGCATCATTATGCTGGACTGCAACCCTCAGTCTGTCAAACTTCAGACATCCAATGCTTTTGTGCTCAAAAAATGGACGGGCCAGGAAGATGACCAAACTCTGATTGATCTAGCACATTTTCTTAAAAGTAAGTCCACTTCAATCAGTCAAATTTAACTGGCCACTTCAAGTAAAATTTAATTTGGCCACTTCAAGTAAAATTTAATTTGGCCACTTCAAGTAAAATTTAATTTGGCCACTTCAAGTAAAATTTAATTTGGCCACTTCAAGTAAAATTTAATTTGGCCACTTCAAGTAAAATTTAATTTGGCCACTTCAAGTAAAATTTAATTTGGCCACTTCAAGTAAAATTTAATTTGGCCACTTCAAGTAAAATTTAATTTGGCCACTTCAAGTAAAATTTAATTTGGCCACTTCAAGTAAAATTTAATTTGGCCACTTGGTTTTTGCAGCAATTGCAGCCAGTGGTGTGGATGACATCCGTCCTGTATTGGATTACTACAACAAATTTGATGATCCACTGGCAGCCTTTAAGGAAAATCAGCGGAGACTTGAGGTAGAAAAATATCTTGATATTATATTTGTACTGGAGAGTTGAGGTAGAAAATATTGTGATATTTGTAGTGGAGAGTTGAGGTAGAAAATATCGTGATATTTGTAGTGGAGAGTTCAGGTAGAAAAATATCTTGATATTATATTTGTAGTGGAGAGTTGAGGTAGAAAATATCGTGATATTATATTTGTCAGTCATATGTAATGAACACATTTATCTGCCATGTTTGATATTGAAATGACACGTAGAATCTAGTTTGCTGATTTTGTTTGTTTTTAGGAAGAAGAAGAACGGCGCAGCAAGCAGTTGAAAGAAGAAAAAAAAGGCTGGCTCTCTGGACTGACCAGCAAACGCTAACACCTTGTGATTCCAATTGGTTTAGTATTAAAACATTTTGACCATATATTGTCTCTTTAATATTTTGTGTTCAGATCATTTGAAAAGCCAAAAACATGAAGAGTTGAGCAAACACAGGATGGATGGATGAATTCAGCTGTAGGTTCCTTGACCAATAGCAAACACAGGATGGATGGATGAATTCAGCTGTAGGTTCCTTGACCAATAGCAAACACAGGATGGATGGATGAATTCAGCTGTAGGTTCCTTGACCAATAGCAAACACAGGATGGATGGATGAATTCAGCTGTAGGTTCCTTGACCAATAGCAAACACAGGATGGATGGATGAATTCAGCTGTAGGTTCCTTGACCAATAGCAAACACAGGATGGATGGATGAATTCAGCTGTAGGTTCCTTGACCAATGAGGCTATCCTTTATATAGAGCAACAATGCTACCTTTGTGGCCTTACATCTGACAGACAAACAATTGCTTTACAGCTGATCAGCTATGGCCTTACAATGATACTTCATTGATAGACCAGCTATGGCCTCACAGCTGACCAACGATGGCCAACACTAACCGTTAGACTGCAAAGCCACTAATTTCTGATCCAGCTCTAAAATTTAGGCGGCATACCTTATTTCATATACCATATTCCATATATTTCCCAAAGACACATTCTGAAAACAAGTTTCTGCAAAAAAATGTTCCTTAATACTTAAGTAAGGGTGGCGCCCCGGGAGGGTGTGATTTTTCTCAATATACGGTATAAATAAAAACAAAAGCCGTGTGCCATGAAACTTTGGGGAGTTGATAAGAATACTCCCGAGAAGGTTTCTGTGAATTAAAATTTGATATGGGTGGCGCCCGGGAGCATACGATTTTTGTCAATACACTTTGGCGCCCAGAGTTCCAGAGCAGCTATCTTAGAACTTGGTATCCTTTAATCGGGCTTCCTGCTTAGCGGGTAAGAGGTACTACTATACATTAAAACTTCAACAGTCGCAGCCACCGGCGCTTAGGCTATTGCATGACCCGAAGGCCTCCCATGTGAGCATTATGGTGCCTACATTTGTTTTTTAAAAAAAGGCTATACACTAAAGACACTATGGCCAACAATAAAGGTTTACTATATCGAATCAGGCGTTGTTCTACGGCGCTTTCCCGTGAGCTTTAATGGCGCCTATAGTCGTTCTAAACAGTGCAATAGAGAGAATGGATAAGAAGGGGCGTTATAGTCAATCACTAAATTGAATCATTGGGTAGGCTTAGTTAGATGTTGTCTGGATCACGTTATTACTTTCTCTTATACGAGGTATAGAGAAATTATTGTAATCGTGCACACAAAAAATAGTCTTGTCCATGTGTGTCTGTAAACACGATAACTTGAGTACCGTTACAGCTAGATAACTTGAGTACCGTTACAGCTAGATAACTTGAGTACCGTTACAGCTAGATAACTTGAGTACCGTTACAGCTAGATAACTTGAGTACCGTTACAGCTAGATAACTTGAGTACCGTTACAGCTAGATAACTTGAGTACCGTTACAGCTAGATAACTTGAGTACCGTTACAGCTAGATAACTTGAGTACCGTTACAGCTAGGCTGATGACATTACATGTGTCTGTAAACACGATAACTTGAGTACCGTTACAGCTAGATAACTTGAGTACCGTTACAGCTAGGCTGATGAAATTTCATATGTCTGTGTCTGTGTAAACACGATAACTTGAGTACCGTTACAGCTAGGCTGATGAAATTTCATATTTAAGTATTTTATCAAATTAGTAGATTTGTATTAACCATTGAGCGGAAGTGGGACTTTTTCTACTTTCAATTTTTCAAAGCCTATAACTTGAGTACTATTCAGAATAGAAAAATTAAATTTCACATGTAAGTAAAAGATCTAATTCTCTGCCTTCTGTCCAATTTTGAGTAATTTCCGCTATTTTTGATTTCTCGAAAAACGCATTTAAATTAATGAAGTACTAATAATATTCAGCATTATTACACATACTAGCTGCATACCCGTGCTCCGCCACGGTGAATCTTTTTTAAATGTACCAACTTTAGAACAAAACTAAACACAAAAGAAAACACTACACAAATACAGTACAAACGCAAAAAAATAATGCATTTGCGTCCGCGCTCAGGGAGAGCCTTTCCAGCATTCTCTAAAAGTCTAATTTCACCATCCGATTTAATAACACCATAAAAAAAGTGATTTTGAGAGATCATAGACTAATTAGAAAATAATTTAAGTAATCTTAACATTTTTCTGTTTTAATTACGAACCATAACAGAAAATAATCAATGCGGTAGTAATAAAAAATTAAACTTAAATTAGGTAGTCCAAACTGAAATTAACTATTGATTGCAGATTTCTGGAGTGAGTGTGTCATGAAAGAACTTTTAATTGTAAGCTCTATGCCACAAATTTTATGAAAAATTTTTAAAAAAAGCAAAATTTGGTAAAAAACTGATTTTCAAAAAGTGCCATTTTTGAGAACCCATATTTTCTAAACTAAATAACATAGAAGTGTAGAAATTGGTAAAGTTGCTGCAAAGTTTGCAATATATATGCCCAATTTTTTTCAGTCATAAAAAATGAGTCTTTCTAAGGTAAAAAAAATAATTGAAAATGACAAAAATGCGTTTTGGTCACTTTTATTTTCATACAAAAAAAAAAAAATTTAAAAAATCCATTTTTTTGTTGCTTTGGACAGAATAACTCTAAAACTAGGTAGTCCAAACTGAAATTAACTATTGATTGCAGACTTCTGGAGTGAGTATGTCATGAAAGAACTTTTAATTGTAAGGTCTATGCCACAAATTTTATAAAAATATCTCAATAAATAAAAAAGTTATGCGATTTTTAAAAAAGCAAAATTTGGTAAAAAACTGATTTTCAAAAAGTGCCATTTTTGAGAACCCATATTTTTTAAACTAAATAACATAGAAGTGTGGAAATTGGTAAAGTTGCTGCAAAGTTTGTAATATATATGCCCAATTTTTTTCAGTCATCTAAAATGAGTCTTTCTAAGGTAAAAAAAATAATTGAAAATGACAAAAATGCGTTTTGGTCACTTTTATTTTCATAAAAAAAAAAAAAAAATTCAATTTTTTTTTTTTTTTGCTTTGGAATAACTCTAAAATTATTGTGTTGGTAACATCGACGTGGAAAAATGTGTTAATTATTTTCAAAAATCACATGAGTTAAAATATTATTTTAAAAAATACCACAGTTATCTAGTGCAGGAGAAACAGAATCAAAATTTAGTAGAGTAAATGTAATGTAATGTAGTTTAATAATAATAAAGACGTGATGCCTACAAGTGATGCAGCAGTTGATGCCACATGCTTTGGTTTCTTTTCAAACCTGATAACTGCTTTGGGGGAACATCTTTGTACGTCTTGTTTCCCTCAACCTTGATCTTGTGGAGCATCAAGAGTAAGTAATATGTTTTGGGAATTGTAGGGGGGAGGGGGGAGTGGGGTCTTGGCCTTCTTCCCTTCCCTTGTAAGGAAAGTTCTGGATAGGCCACCGTAAATGTCTCCAGCTATGGAACGAACAATTGATTTAGTGATTAATAAAATATAATTAAATTTACTACTAGCCTATTGTGTAGGCCTACTATTTGTCCTATGACTATAACTGGAAACATATGAAAAAGCCTGAAAACACCTTTTTGTTAAAAGTAATTTATATTTTTTATATATATTTTTAAGAGTAATTCTACTGAATGAAATTTGAAATAATCGTTGCTTGTCCCACAAACACACCCTGTGTACAAGCGTAGTTCACACGCTAAAACCGTGGACTTGTAGCGTTCAAATTTACATTAATAACGTGTACTAATTAAACCAAACTGACATTCAAACTTAAAATTCATTTATTAAAATGGAAATGAAACTTTAACAATGATACTTACAACTTGTTTGAAGGCTCTAGCAAGGGTAAAATCCGTTTAGCATCATCGGTCGTCAACCTTTAAAACCGTTCGGCGAGCAACTTACTCGGGGCTGAAAGTCGACTCGAGGGTTATATGTTTATTGGGGGTACGGCTTCGCGACCGTAAATCAGAAATACTTGAATTTACAACACAAAGTAGTTATAAAACTGAACTTTACATCGGTGTAAAAATTGAAACAGAATTAGTTTGTTTCCGTGTATATATCGTCATTTAAAGTTTAAAATCTGTATTTTTTAAATGAAATAAACAAGTTATTTTTTCAATTTATACATCAAACGATAGCCTAGAATTCGATCTTTAAAATGACATTAAGATTATGCTTCTACGATGCTTCGTCGCGAAGCCGCGACCAAATAAAACAGTGTGGGGTCGATCAGTACTCGCAAAACGGTGAAATTTGTTGACGTAACTGATACTTTTCAAACAAATATAAAACACATTCAAACATGTGTTACAGATATAAAAATACCAGATTACGACAGATAAAGACTTAAACTTTATTGACATATAATTTTTATTCTTATAGGACAACTAGAAGTAGTGAAATTTTTTTTTTGAAAACCGCAAAAACTGACCCTAAAACGCACTTTTTCGCCAGTTTGGACTACCTACTAAAACTATTGTGTTGGTAATATTAACAGGAAGAATGTGTTCATTATTTTCAAAAATCACATGAGTTAAAATATTATTTTTAAAAATGCCACAGTTATCTAGTGCAGGAGCAACAGAATCAAAATTTAATGGAGTAATGTAATGTAATCTAATAAAGACGTGATGTCTACAAGTGATGCAGCAGTTGATGCTACATTCAAACCTATCGGGTTGATAACTGCTTTGGGGAACAGTTTTTTAAACGACAACTCCACATCTTTGTACGTCTTGTTTCCCTCAACCTTGATCTTGTAGAGCATCAAGAGTAAGCGATAAGTTTTGGGAACTGTAGGGAGGGGGGGGGGGGGCTTGGCCTTCTTCCCTTCCCTTGTAAGGAAAGTTCTTGATAGGCCACCATAAATGTCTCCACCTATGGAATAAATAATTGATTTAATGATTAACAAAATATAATTAAATTTACTACTAGTCTATTGTGT